AGTAAGAGATAATTAAATTTAATTGAATTAATTTATAAAGCTTTTATTACCCACTTTCTTAAAAACTTTAATGCTAATTATATATCTGCTATATTATATATATAACGTGCTAATATATATATAGCGTGCTAATAATATATCTGCAAAATTTTTAGCACTCAGCCTTTGTTCATTATTCCAGGAATCAGTAGGAGTTGATAATTTTTTTTAGATCTTTTCAGTATCAAGATTATTGAAAAGATTTTTAAAATCTTTTCAATGATTTTCAGAACCATTACAATGACTCTTAAGAACTTTAAATAATTTATTTTCTGGTCCTGAAGACTGCTTGGATAATGCTCCCAAATAGGGGTAACAACGCTCAAAAATATGGCATCGACATGCAGTTAATAACATAGAGTGCTGTAGGTGCACAATGATTATTTTACTTATTTTACCTGCGTTAGCGTCAGTGGTATCAAAGCAAAGCAAAGCCACTGAACTTTATCCAAAGTTAAAAATAAGTTCTTCCATAGCTTCTTTTTGATGTTCTCCAGAACCTGAGTCAATTGTTGGAATTCCATGTAATTCGTTTTGTTCTTTAATCCTAGCAAGAACAGCTAACCTGTCTTTTGAAAATTGTTTTCTTTCAGTAAGTTCTTTCACAATTTTTCCATCAAAATGAATTGTTATCAGAGAGTTGGAAGATTTAGAAAAGCTTTTTATATGTTCTCTGATTTCATTTGCACCCATTAACACATTGTTCTCTGCTGCTCTGTATGATGAAGAGTTAGAGCATCCAAACTCAGATATGCATCCTCCAGAATTGACAATAATACTGCCGAGAATTACTGTATGTTGATGAGGACTTAAACCCTTTCCAACTGTTGTGTGAGCAGTACAGTGCAAGATATCTTTGGGTAGGTTGACAGAATTTGTAGGATCAATATATGGCTCAATTTTAAATTCACTATCAGTTGAATTGCTTTTATTGGTATTAAAAGAACTTAATGAATTTTTAGAATCAGTATCAGATATATTGTTTAATTTATTATAATTATATTTAGATTTATGCTTTCTTTTTAATGAGCACTGAAATCTGTAATCCAATACCCCTAACGTTCCTTTCCTTTCCTCTAACTGGTCTTTAAGAAAAGCTGTCTTCCTCTTTGTCATTTTGGTTTCTCAAATCTTTCATTATTTTTTCAATCACATTTAGTGGGTTTTCTCCAATCTAGAAAACCTTTTTAATATTTTTTATAGATTTCTTCCTTTTTTTAACTTCAGTAGGATTGTTTCTTTTACTTAAGCTTTTCAGCATCATCTTTCACTTTTTTTTTTTACCTTGATCCTATAAAATGGAATTATTATTATTAAGTGCTTATAAAAACTTTACAATATATTTTAGTGTTTTGATAAGGTTATGCTTGATCTATCATTACCTTAGATTCTGAGTTGTAATTACTTCAAATCCATCATGTGTCCATGGAAGTTTAGATATTATTCAGCAATGTAACTAACTGGTAGGTCGATTTGGTGATAATGATCCACTTTTGTTGGACATCCTACAATAAAACTCGGTTTAACTTCGGATTTAGATTTTCTCAGAAAGCCGTAGTATTGAAGAATTTCTAGTGTAGTTGCAAACTTGTTGTTGGGAATAGTTTCAATTCATTTTTCCCACGTGAAAAGTATCATCAACTCTTTCAATTTTCTTTTTCAGTGGCATCATGTAAATTAATATTATTTTAAAATTAAATGTTTACATATATGTATGTTAGATAAAATAATCATATAAGATTATATTTTAATTTTGAAAATGAAAAATTTGTTTTTTATTTTATTTAAAATAATTTTTAATTTTTATTCAAAACAAAATTTGTTCAGCAAAAAAAAATTTCAAGTATAAAATTGTACACAAAAATTGAAATGTAAGATATTTTGATACTACCCACTAAAAACGCGTTTTATGAAATACCAAATTATCAATTTGGTATTTCAAAAAACGTGTTTTTTGAAAATACCAAATACCAAATTATCAATACCAAAGTATCAATTGAAATACCAAGTTATTTCATTTTTTGTAAAAATATCTTATGTAATGTAGCAACATATAATATAAACAATATTTAGTATTTTAGAGAAATAAATTGTTGACTTGAATAAGGACTGAAAATCTAATTGTTAATTTTTTATTAATCCATAAAAACCTGAAAATTTTTTTTGTTAATCCATAAAAACCTTTCAAAACTTGATGAGTTTTTAAAGGGTTTTTGTGTGGATATTTCTAGTATTCAAAGTTCTTTTTTTGCTCAAGTTTCAGCTTCTGCCAAAATGAGGTTACATCCGTTGAAGTAAGAAAATGTTGCATATTTGAAAGACTAGATGGAAGAGAGGGTTGAAAAAACATTGCATAAAGGATAAAATAAACTAGTAAAATATTGTGCAATATAGTACAATGGCCAATCAAGTCTTCCTGGAATAAGTTAAAATAATCATATGATATTTATATTAAATATTTAATGATATTTAAAATTGAATTGATCTTCTTGGTAATCAAAATATGTAGAGGAGAGGGGGGGGGGGCAGTTAAAACTACTAGTCGGTCATAACACACAAAAAAAATGTTTTTAATTTCTACTGAAGAGAAAAAAAGTTTAGCACATCAGATTTAAAATTAAACTGAGTTTCTATCTGATATGAGCCCTTATGATATAAGATAGATAATAAAATACTAGTTGTAGTTAGGAAAATCTGTTTTGAAACAGCTAATCAGACAGGTTTAGCAAAAGCAATGTTGAGAGATAATAATTAATATTACCTCTCTACAATTCTAATCTAACGTCACGACATCGCAACGTTGTAACAGAAATTTCAAAACAGTGATTAAAGATTTGAATAGTCTTTCAGATTTGCTTAAATTATTAACTATAATAAGACAATGACATAAGGTGGAAGCTTACAACGAGTAAAGTGTGGGAATAAACTACTATATTACTCGTTAGCTTGGCAACTGAAAAAAGATCTTTGAGCTTAATAAAAAGAATTTTTAAAGAAAACCGATTGCGCAAGACAAGTTTTTGCGTTAAGCATTTTAGCTATTGAAGTAGAATTAGCAGCTTAATTAAATTTAAAAGATATTATAAACAAGTTTACAGCTATAATTATAAGAAAAAAACCTTTAATACTACTAGTTAAGCATTAATAAACAAATTTTATTAGAAACTGACATAAACAGAGATTTAAAACGTGAACAATTATTAGTTATTACTTACCTAGTCTCATTGGATTTGACTAGGTTTAACAACAGCAATAAAAAGGCGCCTATTGGAGAAATCAAAAATTATCATCCTTAGATAGTGTATGATTTTGTTAGACGTTTGCGGATCTTCTATTGAAGTAAATTGTTTTGTTAAATTTACAATGGTTGATGGGAAGGTTCAAATGATATTATCTAAAAAAACTCATCTCAATGCTGTTCATTTTGTGATAATACCTAATCTACAATTAATAATTTAGTAGTTAAGTTATTTAAGAAATACTAGTATTAATACACCAAAAATATTTTCACTACACAAATTATGTTTACACGTCAGCAATGTTTTTTTTTTTCCATTCTGAGGCCTTACATTGCTGTGTGCTAATTGTTTTTGTTAATCTATTTTTTGTTTTTTAAGTTTTTGTTTGGTGATATATTTGTTGTACATCTTTGTTCGTATTAGTGTTTATAAAACAATGTTTTTTTTTTTTTTTTTTTTTATTTTTTTATTAGTATTGTAAGTACTGTTTAGGTGCATTGTCTGTTTTATTTGTTTTTAAAATTTTCCTTCTATTAATCTTTATTTTTGTATTCACAATTGTCAAAATATTTTATATGCCAAAGTTTTTAAATAAGTATTATTAATATACCAAAAATGTTTTCTAGACCCTACAGTAATTGTCTTTATTTAATGACCAATGCCATGATGGAAAAAAAGAATTAAGATTTTAGGAAAGTTTTTTTTATACTTTGTTATTTTATGTTTAAATTTTCAAGTTGGCTTTTTAAGCTATTAAACTTCTTTCAAAACTAATATAAATAAAAAAATAAAAAAAGACATCAAAATACCTTTACTTACTTCTATAGCAAATGGAAAAAACTATGAATTATGAATTACTAAGTTTATTTTAACTGTTTTAACAACTTTATTTTAACTGGAGTATCTAAGAGTTAAGATTTGTTGTAACAAACCTTTGTTTGTTACAACAACAAACCTTAACTTTTATTTTATCTACTTTTTTTTTTAAAATCTAATGTTGGTAATTTTTGTTGTAATGTTGGTAACTTTTGTTGATGGCAGATTTAATTGTGATTGTTATAAAATCAAATAATAAAAAACTAAAATAAATAATGCACATAAATGATTAATTTGAAATAATACTACAAAATACTTACTATAATTTGGAATAATAAATGATTAATATAAAAACTAACAAATGACTAATTTTTATTGCACATGAATGACACATTTTTCAAATTAATAAATATTAATGATAAAATGCAATAAATTTATTATAAGTATCTTTTTCATGAACATATTTCTAACCTAAAATAATTTAAAAAAGCTAACCAGCATTTATTAAAACTGAATTTTTTAAATGGTTTTTAAAATATATAAAATTGAACGATAGTAGTGTAGTATTAGCATAGAGGTGTCATATATAACATATGTTATATGTTATATATAACATATGTTATATGTTATATATAACATATGTTATATGTTATATATAACATATGTTATATGTTATATATAACATATGTTATATGTTATATATAACATATGTTATATGTTATATATAACATATGTTATATGTTATATATAACATATATATATATAACATATAACATATGTTATATATATATATATATATATATATATATATATATATATATATATATATATATATATATATATATTATTGCAACTTTATATCAGTTTACTTTTGTATTATTTTTATGAAATAAATATGTTTTATAGTCACAGGATACAACAGTGCTTGACGAGTCTGGAAATACCAGCACGGAATTAACTTGTGTTTGTTTATCACCAAAGTCTGTCCATAATGATATTTCAGATGTTAGTAGCGAATCAATTTCACAGATTAATTTTGATACTGAAGACTCATCAAGCACCTTGAGTAAAACACCTTCATTCTTACCAATTAATATTGATTGTGATACAGATGTAATAAATCTTGATGATGATGACTTAGAAATTACAGCAACGTTGACAACGCCAACTCGGAAACGAGGCCGCTCGTTTTCAAATAACACTTATAGTAACTGCAACACTACATTTGCGAGGGTTGACAAAACTCAGATATTTGATTACAGTCCTTCCAGAAATCATAGCAATAGTTTTAATCGGATGTGTATGACTAACCCAGTCAAAAGTACTTGTCCGATTGTTCTTAATAAAAAACCTAGATCGTGCAGCGAGGAGCGAAACGGAAACAGAGTAACATCAAACTCCATGCTTTTTCATCCTCGCCGATTATTGCAATATTCAAGTCAAGAAAGTGAAAGCGAAGATTACTCACCTTCCTCTTCAAAATCAAACGAAAAATCCCAACATAAAAAGCAACGACCACGAAATCAATGCATAAGTAAATCGTCTTTGTTGCGTGCAAGAAAATTAAAAACACCTGGTAATCCTACTTTAAAGCCGTTGCATACACACAAAACAATATGCAATACAATAACAAGTATTGATCAATGCAACAGCGAGTTAGAAACTTCGTCAAGCAATAGTGGTACTCAAACGTTACCAGGTCGCACTTGTAATCTTTGTAATATCACATTTAACAACATCACGCTTGCTAGACGACATAATAATCTTATTCACGGACAAAAGTACAACAGTAGCTCTTCAACATGTACTATTTGTTGTGGAGTTTTTCGGAACTCCCGTGAATTAAAGTCGCATATGTTACTTCATGGAGACACTGAAAAGCTTTACAAATGTGACATATGTCTTCTAACGTTTAAGCATCGCTCTGTTCTAAAGCAACACTTATTAATACACTCTGGAGATTTGCCTTACGAATGCGAAATATGTCAAAAACGCTTTCGTCAACAAGGTCATCTAGTTACACATATGGCTCAGCATGATGATAATATGAACCTGACATGCCCTCGTTGTATTATTGAGTTTTCAAATTTATCATTATATTCTAAACATATGATCGAACATAATAGCGAGCTGGCATTTCATTGCGAATTATGCGAAGAGAGTTTTCAAGTAAAAAATGATCTGAAATTGCACCTACAAGCTCACGATGATGGTAAACCGTTTTTCTGCCATGTTTGTAAAAAGTCATTTAAGACTAAAGGTTACTTACTCGGACATATTCATATGCATAAAAATCGCGTTAGTTAAGTAATTAACACGAGATTTATGCATTCTTTAAATTATGAAACATTGCTATAATTTTATTTCTGATTAACTTTGTTAATCAGAAACTTTTTATCAGCGTATTTTGTTTGCCCTTGTTTGCCAGCGTTCATACTTATCATATAGAAATTTTATTGAAACTGTATTATAGTTGTGCATAAAACACTCTTTTATGTTAAATGATGAGAAACATCTCTAGTTTAAATCTTTCTCTGATTTTGTAACGCGTTTCAAAGTTACAAAATCTTTGTTAAGTTGCGCAAATATATTTCAACGCACGCGTTTGTTTATAAAATTTTTAATAGTTTTAAAAAAAAAGTAAATAAAAGGTTAGTTTACTAAAAAGCAATAAGAACTCTAAAAATTCACTTTCAATAATACACTAAATACTTTTATCGTATGTAAACCTTTTTTTTTAAAGCAATACTAGTATTGCTTTAAAATAAATTCTATACTTTGGCGCCATCCATAAAGGACGTCACCATTTTTTAGCCAATTTTTGACCCCTTCCACCCCCCTCCTTTGTCACTGGTTGTCCTTTTTCCCTATACCCCCCTAGAAAAAGACGTCTTATTATCCTGACCCCCCTCCCTAATATTAACTCCAAAAAAAATTATTTCGTCTTGCAATGATGTTTGAATCTGCTGCTACACCTTTAAAAAATAAAATTAAAAATTATACATTATCGTCTCAAAAACACATGTTTACGTAGTTTTCCATGTTAATTAAACTAAAATAAAAAGTTTATAAAGTGACGTCCTTTTCTGACAACCTCCCCCCCCCCCCTCTCCTTGTCATTTTTTGTCCTTTTTAACTCGATCCCCTCCCTCCCCCCTCCCCTATTTTTATGGCGTCCTTTATGGATGACCCCTTTTATACTATATTCTATTCTAGACTGCTAAAATATTAAGTCTTTCTTTTCTATAACAAGATCTACGGTAGGGTTTAATACTGTAGAGCAGTTACTTATGGGGGTAAAAAGCCAATTTTTTTTATAAACGTACAAATATGTTGAATCGTTTTAGGAGCATCAGTTACAATACTTTTAAAATGGCCTCCAAAATAAAGACAATAAAAAAAGAATCAGTATAAAACTCAAAAGCATGTAAGTAAACTAAAAAGAATTAAATTCATAAAAGATCTGTAATCACTAGTATTGCTCAGTATAAGTAAAATGATCGCTTCACTTTCTAGTATTTTTACTAGCATTGGTTAGTATAATAAACAATCTTTTAAAAAAAAAGGTTTTACTATTTTTAGTATGAAAATAATAAACCTTTTAAAGTAGTATAACCTGTTTGTAACGTCAGCCTAGATGTTTTCGTACTGCCAACAGAGGTGTTTTTGTAGACTCTGCATAGGTGTTTTCGTAAAATCACCGTAGGTGTTTTTTGTACTCCGGATCTTCTTACATCTTTTTTATCTCGTTCATTACTCATAACATCACACAGTCTGGTGCATGGATGGATCCAAACCATCTAGTAAGGGGAGGCATTTGCTAGGGTTTTGATTTGGTGGATCCAGACCATCTTATGTGGAAGACGATTTTTAGATTTTAGTAAGGAGAGGCAGGCAAGCACACAAATCATAATACATTTTCAGTTAACTTTTCTTTGAATATCAGTCTTCTACTGTCTTAATCTATGCAACTATAAAATAACGTAATATATTGATGTCCCAATAATCAAAATTTTTTAAAAGCTCATATTACTTTTAAACAGTCTTCCTATTAGGCCTAGTTCACTTTCTTATTTTTCAAACATGTTGCCTAATTATATAGATATAATTTATCGGTTGCGTCAATTAATAATTCTTTTCTAAAAAATAGATACATTTTATTTTCTAAATAAAAACCTTTCATTTATTATTTTCTATATTAGATTATTATTTTATATATATATATATATATATATATATATATATATATATATATATATATATATATATATATATATTATATATATATATATATATATATATATATATATATATATATATAAGTTTTAACTAATTATCGCATGCCCACTGGGGATACAACCAAAAAAAGTTCACTTTTTTTTAACATTTAACAATTAAAAGTATTTAAATTTAACAAAAAAAAAGAGTCAAAAATAAAAAATGTAGCAATTTTAAATTTATTTCAAAAATGGTTTATATCCTATGTCAATTTACTGGAACGAATAATTTAAAATAAACCTGAAGTAAAATTAACTTCAAATGAAAGACGGCTACATATCACGGTTCTCAAAAAGAGAGAAAAACAGCTGCATACCATGACTCCCAAAAATAAAAAAAAAAACAGTTACATGTCACAGTTCTAAAAGAGAGCTGTATTATATAACTATTATTTGAATATCTGGATAAATATTTACACTTCATTTACTCTTGATTTATTTTGAACAACGGATTAAAAAACTCAGAATAATATTATTGCATGTAAGATCTGTAACGAACTTGATTTCTCTCTGTTATTTGTTACAATCTTTATACAAGTATATTTAAACAAAAAAAAATTTACAAGTCAAAAATTTATTAAATAAATAAAAAAATAAAGGTACTCAAAAAAGACCTCTTGTCGCCAAAAACCGCTGAAAATTAATAGCATTATATAATTGCTCTCAGGTAAAAGAACACACATTAAGGTTTACGTTAAAAAAAAAAAGTTAAGTACATAAACATGATTCCTTGATATGAAGCTAAACCACTATATGCCTTGATATGAAGCTAAACCACTATACTGTTAAACGAAAATACATTGTAAATAATAATAATGCATAACTTTTGTGTAAGTTGGTTGTTTTCTTTAATTTTATTGTTCATTATAACAATCTTTATACAAATAAAATATAAAAGAAATAATTACAAATAAAGATTTTGTATTACTATTTTTTTTTTTTTTTTTAATTTTTTTCCAACTGTATATTTTTAAAAATATATACTTTTATTACAAATACAACCAAAGTTCTATAAAAATAACTGAAATAATTTTAAGATATATTTGATGTGCAAAGAAATATAATAAAATAAATAGTATTACAACTTATATTTTGTCAAGACAAAATAAATCTAAAATATGGAAATAGAAAGCTTTAGTTATATAGTAACTCTCATAAAACTGTGTGAAGTCTTTTCATCAAGAGCCCCTTCTTTAAATAATTTTAAAACTATTTTATACATGACTTATTATATTTTTCAATATATTTAGTATTTTTTTTTTCTTTTCCAGAATAATATGTACAAGGTAAATATACATTGAATATATTACTGGTAGGACTTCCAGAAAATCACACGATCTTATCATGAAGCCCTTTACAATCTATATTAGGAGTCAAAATAAATAAATAAATTTACAAATATTTAAAACAATTTTTAAATGCGTTTATATATTATAATACTTTTTAGATGTTAAGAAAGTTTTAACAAAATTTTATAATATATGTGAATATATATATATAATATTTCTCAATATTTAATATTATGCAAAAAACAAACAAACAAAAAAAGCAAACAAAAGCTTGAAAAATTACATCAGCTTTCATCAGTATATATGTAATGTCAATAAATAATATGTAGTCTAAAAAATATTGTCGTTCAGATTACAGTTCCTTAATTATTTTGTGGAATATGTAATAATTTAAAAATATAAAATTATGTTATCAATTGAAAAAATTACTTCTTTTAGTTTTCTTTTAAAAGAAAAATAATTCCAATTATGTGAAAAATCAAAATGCTTTGTTCCATAAAAAGGCTCCACGGTATTGAATGCAAGATTTGCCTATACTTGATTGAAAAATCGGTTGTTGGATATGTTTAATATTTCTTAATAAATATTTATTTTTTTCTTTCATTGAATATAAATTATGAAAAGAAACAGGACATGCATTAATTTTGCATTTAAACATAAAACAAAGAACGTTAAATATATTTGCTTTGTAAATATTAAGAATATTCATGTTTAATAATATAGGCCTGGGATGAGTAAAACAATCTTTAAAATTAATAAGACGTGCTACATGCTTCTGTTGACAAAGCAAAGGCTTTAATTTAATTTTGTTGGTACTACCACAGGCAATATTAGCATAGTTAATATGGCAGTGAATTAATGAGTAATATAGTTGAATTAAAGTATGTTTATTTAAAATGCTCCTTGTTTTATGAAGAATCCTAATACTTTTTGCAATTTTATTATTTAGATTTCCAATGTGGTTTTCCATGAAAGATTTTCATCCACAATAATACCTAGAAATTTAGAATAAGTTACTCTTTTTATATTAATTTTATCAATGAAACGCGGCGGCATTTCACTTGGTAGTATATGCTTTTTATAAGCTGAATGAAAAAGAATCCACTCAGTTTTTTCATTATTAAATGAAAGCTTATTTGATTTAAACCAGTCAAATATTTTCTTTAGTTCTACATTCATGTTATTAAATAAGTTATTGATGTTATTTCGGGATAAGAAAAGATTAGTATAGTCAGCATACATTATTGTCATTAAATTAGAAGTTTTATAGAGGTAATTAATATAAATTAAAAATAACTGTGGTCCAAGTATGGAATCCTGGGGGACTCCACAGGCTATATCTAATGCAGTAGTTGTTGAGTGTGTATCAATATGCATGAATTGTTTACGATTATTTAAGTAACTTTTTAATAAGATTAAGACTTTACCAGTGATACCGTAATGTTCTAATTTATTTATGAGAATGCCATGATCAAAAGTATCAAAAGCTTTAGATAGGTATATAAAAATACCTAAAGTAAATTTTGATTTGTCGAAGGAGTCAGTAATAATTCTTGTGAGTTGAAGTACTGCGTGTTCTGTAGGGTTATTTTTTTTGAAACCGTACTGATTGTTGTAAAGTATATTATTTTCAGAGAGATGAATAAAATTTTGATCAAATAAAATTCTTTCAAGAATTTTAGAAAAAACTGACAAAACTGAAATTGGACGATAATTCCCAACATTTGTTAGTTCACCACCTTTATATATAGGGGTCACTTTTGCAACCTTCATTTGCAAAAGTGGCCCCTATATATAAAGGCCGGAAAAATTCCTTGACTTATTGAACAATTAAGAACTTTAAATAGAGTATTCTTTATATTCTCGTATGACTTAATAACAATGTTTCCATTTAAATCATGTGGGCCAATTGCTTTATTAGGCTTAAGCCTTTTGAATACATTTTCAAATTCTGAAAATGATAGTTTAAAAGCACTTAGACCAGAGGTTAGAGGAAATTCATAATTGTTGATTGGATTTATTATATTTGGAATGTTTTTTGAAAGATTAGGTCCTACAGAAACAAAGAATTTATTTAGTTCATTTGCTATTTCTTTAGGATCATCTATTATTTTATCATTAATTTTAATAGCTTTAGGTAGAGAACACGTTTTTAAGTTTTTTTTGCCCGTGATTTCACTTATAATTTGCCAAGTGCATTTTGAATTGATTTTATGTTTCTCTAGCAAATTGAAATAGTATCTTTTTTTTTTGCATTTTTTTAAGATTATTTTCAAATTGTTTAGTATAATTTTTGTATATTGTTTTGTTTTCAGTTATTTTGGTTTTTAAGTATTTTATATAAAGTTTTTGCTTTATTTTTGAGGACTTTCTGAGGTCTTTATTGATCCACGGTGATTTAAGGCATTTATTTGATTTAGTTATTTTGATTTTCGGGAAATTTGCGTCATAGATATCATAAAATATTTCGTAGAATGTGTTATAGACTACGTTTGCTTCTCATGTAGAGTCGATATTTTTCCAGTTAAGTAGGGATAGTTGATTGTTAAATGATTCGATATTTGATTCATTGAAAAAGCGTTTGATGAAAACTTGTTTTTGTTGTTGTATTATAGATCTTGCTTTATAGAGTAAATAGATGTTTTTTGAGATTTATATATTAATGTCATTTATTTGAGAGTTCCATGATAAATTCTTGTCAAGAAGCACATTAAGAAATTTAGATGATTGAGTTCGTTCAATAGTTGTATTGTCTATAACAAGAGTTTGTAAAATTGATGGGGAAGCTCTTTTTTTTGTTTGGAATAAAATGTATTTAGTTTTGTTCAAGTTTAATGACAATTTGTTAGCTCAGAACCATGTGGTAAGTTTAACAAGTTTTAAATTTACTGTTATAAAAGCGTCACTGATTAAGTAATAAGAATAAAACAGATTGATGTCGTCTGCAAAAGTTATGCAATCAACTTTGATGAGACTAGGAAAGTTGTTGACATAAATTGAAAATATAGAAGAGAAGCTAGAATAGATCCTTGAGGGACCCCACATTTAATTTTCAATTATTTCGAGTTGTTATAGTGATCTATATTAACACATTGTTGTCTATTGTCTATATAGTTAGCAAACCATTTTAATTAGTTAGCAATTCCTAAAACAAATTTCTCATCATTAAAAGAAGTGCTAATGTTATTAATGAGATCAAGGATAGCGTGTTCCGTTAAAAGTTGCGTTTGAAATCCGTATTTATTTTCACTTAGGATTCTGTGTTCTATTAAATATTTATACAGTCTTTTGTATATTATTTGTTCAAGGAGTTTAGAAAATACAGGGAGAATTGAGATTACTCTGCTATAAGTAATTATAGAGGTCTATAATTACTTATAGCAGATGTATCTCCACTTTTAAATATAGGTACAATTTTTGCTATTTTTAATTTGTCTGGAACTGTTCTGTTTTTAATTGAAGAGCTGAAGATATTAAAAATAAGCCTTTTTAATGCAGAAAAAAACAAAAAGTACAGCGTGGCCAGAGATGTCATTAATACCTGGGGCCTTATTCTTTTTGATTGATTTGATTGCTGTTTCTAGTGCATTAAGTTTAGATCACTATCTGGCATTGAACTCTCTTAGTTACTAAATTAATTTTGAAATAATTTTTCTGAGCCTTTTATTTTTGATGCCCGGTTTAGACCAGTTTAGACAAGAAAATGATTGAATATTTCTGATATATCTTTTTTGTTTTTGTACTCAATATCGTTTTCCGTTATTCTGGATGGTAAAATGTCAGAAACTATTTTATTTTTACAGATGATTTCTTTCATGAATTCTCACGTTTTTTTTTATACTTACATTATCATTTTTTAATTGTTCAGAATAATATCTTTTTTTAGATTTATTTTTTATTTTTTCTGAAAAATTTTTCTTCTTTTTATAAGCATTAAAATTAGCTTCGTTTCTGTTTTTTAAATATTTGATGTACTTATTTTTTCCTTTTTTGAAGATTTTTTTATTCCGGGTGTAATCCACGGACTTTTTAAATATTTTGTTTTAATTTCTATTTCTTGTATTGGGAAATGTTTGTTATAATATTCAAGATAGATGTCGAGAAATGGTTATAAGCGGAATTGGTGTGTCCAAGGTTACATTCTTGGTATACATTTATCCAATTTATTGTTGATAAAGATTCTTTAAATTTAAGCATAGAATGTTTATTTATTTTTCGTTTCAAGATTTTGATTATACAATTATCAACTTATGGTTGCCTGTTCAGCTAAAGAAAAGAAAATTGGAAAATGATCCGAAATATCTGTTTGAGTTATTCCTGTTTTTATGGACTGATCTGGAAAGGAGTTTATTAGAATATTATCTATAGCCCTAATGCACGTTGTTGTAATACGAGTTGGTTTGTTAATGATTGGGAAAATACTGTATTGAAACATATTGTCAAAAAGGTTTTAATATAAGGGTGTTCATTGTAATTTAAACAATTTATGTTAATGTCAGCGATACAGAATAATATTTTTTGTTCATTATTGCTTTTGATAAAAACTTGTAAATAATTTGAAAATTTAATAACATCGCCGTCAGGTGGTTTATAACAACTCAATTGTTTCGTAAACCATTGCGCATGTTTAAAAGTTTATTTTTACTAAATTGATGTGAAGCATTTGACTTATTTCCGAAACTCTCGTACAAAAATTTTATCATATTTGATAACTGCAAATTTACCTTCGGTTAATTTCTTCCAAAAACTTATATATATATATATATACATACAGTGAGATGCAAAATTATAATCTCACCTGTATAGACCCCTTAAAACTTTCAAAGTTTGTTGATCAACATCTATTTGTTGAAATAAACAAAAGAATTTACATGAATCTATTTATACTTTAATTAACTCAAATTATAAAACCGTTTAAAACCGTGGTACACAATAATAACCTCGTTATCTAAATTGCATCAGAAGCCATAAAAAAATAGTAGTAAATTCCGTTTTCAAATTAAATTTATCACATTTTCAATTTATAAAATACATTCTAACGAATGCCAAGAAGAACTGCACTCTCTGATGAAGAAAAAGGCCTACTGATTATTGCGTTTATCAAACAGGGCA